CGGCTCGCCTTTGAATTTCGATGTGTCAGTCCCCCATTAGCATAATTATGCCGAACGTCGTCGTTTATCTCGATTTGCCGAGTTGCGAATACGTATCGATTTTCGACGTTCGCCAAAGGACGCTTTCTGCCTCTTTCTCTCCCTCTCTCTGTCTTTCCCTCCTCGTGCACGTGTGCATATGTGTCGCGTGTGTGCGCGTGTGTGTTCCGCTCGGCCGCGTGGCTATTGGGCACGAATCCGTCGTGTTCGATCGAACGTTGCATTTGTTCGACACCCGGGATTATAACCGCGTCTCATGAATATTCACCGGTGCCGCGCGGCCCCGCGCTCCCGCGCTGTCCCTGCTCTATCCGCGATCTCGCCAAATCTGCGGGCAGGTGTTCGCGCGAGTTGCTTAAAAAGTCGACCGGCTCCTCTCATTGAACACCTGCCTTGCCCTTAATACGACGTGCTGATGGCGACGAGTCGGACACTGCGCCGGGCCTTTTTTCAATGAGAATCTGCGATACGATCGTACGCACGTACTCGTGGAATAAAGTGTACCGGCGCGCGCGGGGCGTTCTCGGGATCACAGGATGCTGCGGGATGGGCGAGCGACCTTGACAGTGGAGCATCTGCTGCGGGTCGTGGACCAGTTCCTGATACTGTGATAAAAGCTTCGCACGCGCGCGGTAATATTTCTGTCTGTGCACTGGGTTGAAAATATGTAGGAAATAAAAAATATCTATTCCACGGCCATTGACAACATGTTTATTCAACATATTTATTCATATCAATATATATTCGTGCAGCGAGAAAATATTTTTTTTTTTAAAGCTTTAGCTTTTCATGGAAAAGCGACTATTTGCTACATTTAAATAAAAGAATTTAGATTTCTCTCTCTCTCTCTCTCTCTCTCTATCTATCTATCTATCTATCTATCTATCTCTCTCAGTGCTCACTGAGTAAGCATCTTTCATTTTTTAAAGATACGTTCTGTCGGTGTATTTTTACTTTTCGGAAAGATATGCGTGTAACGCCAGTCGACGAATAATTACCTTGTATATTACGGGGATATTATCATCTCATTAAAGATATAGAAATACATAAATCAGAAATACAGAAAATATTAAAGTAGAGTCTTGAGAGATCAAACTTGTCGTATATTATTATCGTCGCGGTGAGTCGCGATGATATATTAATATTTCTTTCATGAGCGACATATTACAGTCGCCGATTGAGAATCGAGCCGGTGCGTCGTTAACTACACGATGATTTCGTAGGTTTCCTCGATTCCTATAATTAACTCGTAGATTGTAACATATTGATATCGATGCGTTATTAGCGATTAACGTACGCGCGCACGCTCGCTCGCTCGCGAAAAGATGTTGATCCGTCTATCGGGCTCCTTCCCGTGCGATGAATCAGCCGAAAGGTATCGTAGAGAAATCAAGCGAGTATTTCACGTATAATTAATCCCGCGCGGGGAACGATGGTATCTCAGCGTGGCGCGTTTCGCTGATGAATCATCGCGCCTCGCATAGCTCGGTACGAATGCGCTTTATTAATTAATACGACTCATCTGTTTGCTCCCACTAATTACAACTATGACCCGTATGAATTCCTGCGAGCTTTCTTCCCCGTCGCGAGAGTAACGCTTTCTGTTCTCCCTTTTCGTCGTCTATCTCGCTCACTCGCTTCGTCGTCTCTTTTTCTCGCGGACCGGCTCAGTCCAGCCTCGTGGTAGATTTCCAGCTGTCTGTGTGTGCGTGCACGCGCGCGCATTAACGCTTAAATGCTACCTTCGATGTGTAATTTCTCACTTATTGCGTGGCGGCTTCACGGCTAGTGGCGTTATCGTCTGGTTAGAATCAAACGCCAATTCGCGTCGCGATTGCTCAACGCTCGAGAATTCGTTATTCGTGGCCGCGTATGCAGAACAGGTGTATGCATGTGTGTATACGTGTCGTCCGCTGCGGCGCCGAGGAATTTGCCGTGGAAATCTCATTGCGACGACCGCGGCGACGTGTGCTCAATATAAATATACGTAAATGCACATGTTGTGGCACCGGTGAAAAAAAAAACTGAAAGACAAGTTACGCGACTAGAAAAGTCGCGACGCAAATAGACTTTTGCGGATCGGCCGGAGGAGAAAAGTCGAAAACAATTCAGACCACAAGGGGCTCGTCTCTCGCTTTTTTTGCGCGTGTTCGCGAATGGCTGGTGTATTCATTTTTCCACGTTTCCAAGAGATCATCCGCACGAACAACATCGCGGTTTTCGCACATTCGCGCGACGCTATTGTACTCCGGACATTTACGTGGAAGAATACCCTTCGCCGGTGCACGCGCGTCTCCTGCATCTCTCTCTCTCTCTCTCTCTCTCTCTCTCTCTCTCTCTCTCTCTCTCTCTCTCGAGCTCCATTTTATGTCCGTTCTCTTCTCTCCTGCCCTTGGCTCGTATCTCGCTCGTTAGATACTACGAGACGCCGTCGCGCGTCTGGCTCTCCCGTGAATGCAAAAATAAGCCGGTATTTACATAATATAATGCGCGAGAAACGCGTCCGAGGAGATTCGCCTCGCCTCGCCTCGCCTCGCCTCGCCTCGCCTCGCCTCGCCCGGTCGTGGAGAAGAAACTGCGACGCGGAGGAAACAGGAGAAGAGAGGAGAGAGAGAGGGGGGGGGAAGAGGGAAAGAGAAAAGGACGTTGCACGCGCACGTTACTTGTAATCGAATGTGACGGCGCGTCGCGTCTCGCTCTCGGTCCGTTGTAAATCAGGAAATCCGCCATCTACGCCCACGTCGGATTCATATATCGTTCTTAAACGACTCGCCGCTTGGACGTCGCGCGCTTTCGATCGGGCCGTCACGCGTTGTTTTATCGCGTCGTGTTGCGCATACGCGTGCGTCCGTGCGCCTCGGCGGCACACATGTGGAATTGTTGCCGTGTATTTGCATCGATAATAAAGTAGCTCGTTGTTTGTACAATCGACCAGTCACCTGCGTGGACTTGCGAAACACCACCACCAGTCGCGCGCGTCGTGTTTCACTTCGGCTCGCGGACAATATCCGCCGCCGGCGCGACTACCGGTTTTATCGGGGCGGGATGGTGGGAGACGGCGGTTGGGAAACATCGAGGACGCTAACAATCGTGTTTTCCGGCGGACTGAGCGATACAGCGATTTTTTTTTCTTCATTTTTTCCTCTCTTTTTAGTTCCCCCCCCACCCGTTTTTTCTCTCTCTCTCTCTCTCTCTCTCTCTCTCTCTCTCTCTCTCTTTGTCTCCGACCGGTTCTCGGCTACGTTCTCGCGAGGGCGCGAGCGAGACCGGAGAGAACGGCTTCGCGCGTCGTGAAACATCATTTCGGCGTAGGAGAGCGTGGATAACGGGCGAGTCGCAAACTCGCCGAGACAATGGACGAGGAGAGCTCGTTTTTCAGTTAGCTTCCGAGAAGCGCGTTCTTAACGAAGCATTTTGTCCGTCTATTAGCGCCACGAACGGGCCGTAATTACTCGTAGGTATAGCGAGCGAGCGATCGCGCGTCGTCGCGGTGTTATCCGTGACGGAACAATCGCCTCTCGTTGAAATTTTTCTCATGAATTTGCGCGAGGATGGACGTCTTCGTGCCGCTTAAACGCGGACACCACGCCACGAGGAATGAGGGACCTCACGTCGCGGAGAGGGGGGGGAGTGCACGGTAAGTCGCGGTCGTTCTCCAGGGCGATGCTGAGAATCTCTCGCAAATTCGTCAAGTCGTAATCCGGCGATTCCCTCTCTAATTCTTCGTCGCTGAATGGCCCATTTGAGAGCGGCTCGTAATAGGATCTCTTTGATAACGCGCGATCGCAGTATGTGTGTACGTGTGTCGAGCTTAGGAGGCCCGACGGGGTTTCAAGACTCGGCGTTCCAGAGATCTAATCATCCCCGTCGGACTTTCGCGCAAAGAAGAGCCGTTGACAAGACCGAGCTCCTCTCGTCGGCCGCGCACTTTTCTCCGCGAGTTTGGTAAGCTGCGCACTTGTTGGCCGGCACGACGAGAGAGGGCTGAGAGACAAAGGAGAGAGCCTCGGCCGTGCATTTTGCGGGAAGACCGAGCCGCGCGCGCGCGTGCTTCACGGAAGTTTGATCTCGTTTATAAGTAATGAGCCTCGGGCGACATCGCGACCCCGTAAGAGTCCAGCGACTTCATTTCAGCGCGGTTATACGCGAGCACTTTCGGACTGGCGGAACGGTAAACTTTCGGTCATCACACGCGCGACATCTCGTCGTCGACACGTCGACGGACACGTGTGTACCCTCGCGAGCGTGACGCTCGTCCGCGCAATTAGTTTTTGTCCGCGTGGTGCTTCGTGGCGGCGCGAGATAACGAGATTACCTCGCGACACCGCGCTAAATCTGCGGTAAATTGAGGAACGCTGTAATAAGATTGCGATTAATGAGCGCGATTCTGAGCCGACACGCCGAGAGAGCGCGCGCGGTCTAGTCGCAGGTGAGGAGCGCGCGAATATATCGTGAGTGAAGCGCGCTGAAAGTTGATTACCAAGCTGAGTCACGGCGCGCCGCGCCGGAGAGCGCGCGCGCTGTCGTTTCGCGCAAAACTCGGAAGTGTTATCCCCGTTCCGCCGCGGGAAGTCGTACATTGTACGCGTTACACGCTATCGATTTACGATATGGGATTTACGATTTACGGCCTGGAGTATATCCCGCCCGACGATACCGTTCGTTTTTACGGGGCCCCTTCCTCGTTCGTCTTCCCCGTGCGCGCGCGCTCGCGAAGGAATCGCTGCGATATAATTCGAGATAATGTACGCCATCATCTCGGCATATAATCCACTAAATATCGCGGTATATATATTGTCCTCACGCGTGATTGTGTCTCCTTGATAAACCGATTAAGTACGAAGGAGGACGTTGGTCCTCGGCTGAATCAGAGCTACCCTCTTATTCTTGCATTATTATCTCTCCGTGTCTGGGCGAAAGAACGAACGAAAACACGACGAAGACTTCATCTTTGTTTTCAGCAGGAGGAAGTAAAAGCCGAGGAGGCGAAGCCAGAGTCGACCGGAGAATCTCCCGCGGAAGTCGCAGAGGTCACGACGCCCACAGAGGGTACTCCTGCCAGTCCGAACGCTGTCGCCTCTCCAGACAGCAAGGAAGCCAAAAAGAAGGATAAGGTAGGGCGTTTCGCGTTGTAATCCGTATATAGCTCTCTGTGTTTTTTTTTTCTCTCCCTCTCCTGCCTCAGCGATTAACTGCGTTTCAATCCGGCCCGGCTTTATCGCGGCCTCGGGTATAATCATCTTTCAAAGGCCGAGTTTGAGAACATCTCTTGTCGCGTGTGTACGTTCGCTTATTATTTGTACGAATTAAAAAGCGTCACTCTCGCCAAATGTCACGCGTAACCGCCGGCTCCTCTCGAGATCGTTATCGATGTTGCTTCCTCGTTTGTAGAAGAAAAAGTGGTCATTCAGGTCGATCAGCTTCAGCAAGAAGGACAAGACCAAGCCGAGCCGCGATGAAACACGCAAGAATGGAGACGTCCCCATGGACGGAAACATGTCGGTGCAAGAACCACTCGCGGAGGTGAGTCGAGAAAGCATCTCTTATGATTATTACGCTCATTATTCTCGTTCACGTGTTCGACGTTTACTCGACGTGGACGATTATTATTAACGTTCGTTGGGCCGCTCTGCGGCCCGTTTGCGGGCAAAACGTCCGCGGCGGTTGACGCGCGAAGCGCACACATGGCACGATGAACTGCGCCGGTGGCGTAGGTGGGCAGAAAAACGAAGCGAACGAGCGAGCGAGCGGCGTTTTCGCGCGGCAATGAATCGTCGTCCCGACCGACCCCGTTCCGACTTCCTCGATCTTTTTTCCCCCGGCCGCGAATCGAATGATCCAGTCGGCTGTGTCGAAAAAGTCCCGGCCGCAGTAACGGCCCGTGTTTGGTCAAGCGTGCTTTTTCTCGTGTTCCCTTGAAGTTCGCGCGCGGCGCGGGAGGATAATCGCGAACGGCCACGCGATCGAGCCGTCACGGGGCTTCGAGGCTTTTCTCTCTCTCTCTCTCTGTCTTTTTTTTCGAACGGTTCTTAATTAGCTACAAGACGCACGATAAATCTCGAAAGGCGCACTCGCGCGATTATCGGTGGGGTGCAAACGATCGATGCGCGCGACGCGACGGACCGTATTAACAAAGTTATTTGTTGGTACCGCGGAATTCCCGACTTGGCGTGCTCGTTGAACGGACGGACAGATAGACAGACAGACAAACGGCAAGCGCTGGAGGGCAGGCCGTATCGTATCATTGTCGCGCGAGGAAATGATAAAGTATTATACGCGGCTGTGCACGCGCGCGTGTGTGTGTGTGTGTGTGTGTATATACGAGGCAACGTGGCCATTACAACGAGACGCGACGGGGCCTTTCACAAGCCCCGTGAATGATGGGGCTCACTTTGTAGACGTTATTATTAATCTTCGTCGAGCGCGGCTTAACAAGCTATCCACGTTACGTGCGCTTTATGCTTCGATCAGCGCGATCATATCGAGCGATATAGATTGGCGGTGATCGCGCGACGCAGCGACGCTCGCGTATCCTAGGAATACATCGGGACTTTGTCGGGAGCGTTTAATTGGGCCGCGATCGATTCGCGCGGGCTAGAAGTGCAGCCGGTGTGTCGCGCTTGGCAGCCTGACAGATACGAACGCGCGCGCGCGCGCGCGCATATACGGAGAAAGAAATCTTCTCGAAGGTATTGACATTTGTGGGACGGAGGAAGCTCTTCTCCGTATTAGCTCTTGTTCGGTTAGAATATATTATTCAAGACGTTTGGAAATAGCGAGGGAGAATTTTTCGCGTATATTGTACAAATCTTCACATCGCACAGTTGAAAAGATATCCGAGCAAACTGTCGGTTAATTGTTGCGACATAGACCTGTATGAAGCGGATATTTATTGACAGCTTAACGTGCCAATTTCGAAATTCTCCTTATCATTTTCTACTTGCAACCTCCCCCTTCCATGACCTTCCTTTCCCGCTACCGCCGGACAGTATATCGCTTTAAATAAAAATCTCGCCCGTGTACGATTGCATTTCCACGACGTAGGATTCTCGACTCGGGATGGCTCCTCCGAGATCTCACACAGCTCGATCGCGTGCGCACGATCGATCGGCCGAACGGCGCGCGCGGCGCTTTCGTGTCCCGCGTCCGCTGAGCCTGTCCGCATCGAAAGCTCTCACCGGGTGCTTAATTGGCCTGAGGCAGCAATGAATCTCGCTTTCCGGCCGATGCAGGCCGATGCCCGCTCCGCCGCGGCCGCGGTCGTTCGCAATAAATCCACTTGCCGGCGGATGTATAATAAGTAGCCCGCTTCTCCCCCGTCTTCTCCTTTCCCGGTTCTTTCACTTCCCTCTCGGCGCGGCTCCTCGTCTCTCGCTTATCTCTCGCTCTCGGATACTAGCCGCGCGCGCGTAGGCGAAACCGCGAGATCTCGCGACGGCCGACTCTCTCGTCCTCTTCTTCGCCACTTTCCTCTTCGTCTCCCTGTGTTCGATCCGGGGCTGCACTCGCGCAACGCCGGCCGTGGGCTTCTCTCCCTTCTCCCTTCCTTCCTTCCTCCGTCGCGACCTCGGCGCGACAGAGAGAGAGAGAGAGAGAGAGAGAGAGAGAGAGAGAGAGAGAGAGAGAGGAGGGGGGGGAGAACAGCCGTGACTCATCCCTCCGGTTCGTCGTACCTTCATGAGTTTCGTGATAGGCCGCCGTGGAAAACCGGCTTCTTGCCGCGCGTGGTTAAATTATCCCCACCGGCTGTCTTGCCTGCCTGCTCCTCGTCGCAGCCTCCGGCTGCACAGCCTGCAGCCCGTGTACCCTGATACGTCCTAACCACTTACCATCTACTAACAATGCTCTTCGGCCGATCTTGCTCGAGCGCGCGACTGTTTCACTGGCGAATCAGCACGCGCCTCCACGGCCATGCGAAGCGCTCGGAAATTTGTCCGATAACGCCGCACGTGTGCTGCCCCGCGTCATCGTGACATCCTCGCCCTCCTCATCGTGATCCCCCGCGCGCTATCGGTCGATTTGGCGAACGAGCGAACTCGAGTGTCGCGTTCAAGAGACTTCCCGATTGCGCGTGATTGGGGTGTAGTGGTAACCGGGCAACAACAGAGCCCTCGTTTTGCCGTATTTATTTATAGAGAGAGAGAGAGGGGGGGGAGAGGAGAGAGAGAGAGAGAGAGAGAGAGAGAGTGTGTCCCGGGGCCATCTTACGGCTCTTTTTGCCCTATCGGCAGGCTATCGGCGTGTCATTTTTACGTCTGTCCGCGGTCGTTTATCATACCGCGGCTGATGGATGCGGTCGTATCATTCGGACAGTGGCAAACACGCATCTCCATAGCGCGGCATGGACGGCGAGAGTGCATGGCCATAGAAGAAATCCAGATATTTATAGCCGGTATCGTTCCGCTGTGCTGACACTAACGTGACCTTGATGAACCGGGCAGCTGTTGTCACTATTCGTTACAGCTCGTCGGTTCATGCTCCGAACGAGTTCAGCGATCTTGTCCCTCCTGATTAATAACGCGGCCGCTTGAGCCCTCTCGCGGTCTGTGAATTTGTTCGACAGAACGCTTCTCTGCGCACCTGATGCGTCTCGCGCTATTGCACATATCGCAGGCAGAAAACAGCGAACGATAAGTAGCGTTTGTCAACGTCTCAAGACAGTCCTGCGAATATCGCAATACAATTTCAAGAAATAGAAGCATAGTCACATCGTCAACAATTAGCGCACAGAGTATGACATGTTTAAAGAAGTGTTTGTTATTTTGGTATCGGTAGCGAAAAGTATGTGAAGATGGGTAAGAGTAGAGGCCAGACTTAAAGGTGGGCGACGTTCTTACGTATTTTAATGTATTTTGCGAGAGTGTTTCAAATGGCTCCCCCGTGTCATTAAGGAATTAACTGAATGAACGGGAGAGAGAGAGAGAGAGAGAGAGGGGGTGAGAGGGAGGGGGAGAGAGAGAGAGAGAGACGGGGAAAAAAGATGAAAAGAATGTCTCGCTATCGTGGAACCTTCGAGTCATCGCGGGCACCGCGAGCTTCACGTTCAACCGCGACTTTCACTCCCTTCGAAACGGCTCGGCATTCCGAGTCATTAAGGAATTAGCGGTGTCGGTGTGCAGCCGCGCGCTGTGTGCGCCTCGTAATAGCGCGCGAGATGTCATTGTCGAGCGTGTTATGACACGGGCTGGCTGATGCGCGCGGAGCCTCATTGCATCGTTACCCCGTTCCACGTCGGGGAGCGTACGGCTCGCGGATTGGAATTTCTCGAGTAATTAGCGAGGCAGGAAAAAGAAAAGAGAAAAGAACGCCGCGCGCGCGCGCGCGCCTCCTCTCGCGGTGCCTCGAGATTTGCGTTTTCGACACGCGGTCGGGGCTCGCCTGCTGACGTTTCGACGCGGCTTTACGCTGGATTACGCGAACGCTGACCGCGCCTGCCGCCGCAAGGTCTGAGCGAGGCTCGATTGATTGGACGATGCTTTTAGAAGCGTTCAATAATTTAGTTCTCTTATAGACACGGGAAGCATGCTCGTCCGCGACGCAACTCGAAACTGTCGCCAGCCGCGCTCGCGATGACACGTTTTCCTATTTCCGCGTAATGCGCTCGTTCCGCCTCAATTGACGGCGAAATTTTCAATTCGAGGCAATTAACCCTTAATCACCGTAAATTGTCTCCTCACGCATTCTTATGCCGGCGAGGCGTCTGACGCTGTGTCGTCGACGTCCGCCTCGGTCCCGCGCGCGCGCGCGCGCAGTCGTCACGTTCGCGGCGAACGAAGAAGCGGCGCGAGTCAATGTAATCGCATTAATTCAACGCTCCACCAAGATTAATTTCAAGCGAAGTACATTTGTCACGGCTGGCAATGACGAGAAAGAGAGAGAGAGAGAGAGAGAGAGAGAGAGAGAGAGAGAGAGAGAGAGAGAGAGAGAGAGAGAGAGAGACAAGGTACAAGGGGGAAAGAAAAGAGAGAAAAGAAGGAATTAGACCGGGAGCAGTCAAGCCATCAAGATGAGATTCGGAATTCATCTCGACGGAACGTCGGAATCGTCGGAGGATTTTTCGCGTGGAGTCTCGTCGCGAGAGAGTGAGAGAGAGAGAGAGAGAGAGAGAGAGCCGAGTGAAGTGATTTATTTAACTAATTTGAGAAGTATTCCCGCTCCGGCATTTCTCGGTCAGATCAATTTGGTCGTCCCATCGCGGTTACGCGCTGCTACTTTCAACGGCAAGATCGCTAATGAAATCTCCCCGCTGAAATTACGCCAAAAGCGGCGCGCCGCCTCGCCATTTAAAACGCAACCATACTAATCGGCCGCGTGAAATTCGCTAAGAGAATTTAATTACCAGTCTTTTTGCGGGAAGCGCGCGCCGCGGTCGCGCCATTCTCGCGCCGCGAGCAACAGAATGAAGCGCGACCGATGCTCCCCCGATAAATTTTTCCGCTCGACGTCGTTTCTCGCGGTCGACCACCTTCCTCCTCCGCCTCTCCGCTGTCCCGTCGCTGGCGCATCGCCGTCGTCGTCGTCGT